TTGTAAGTTTTTGTTTAAAAAATAAGATAAATAAAAATTGAAAAAACTCACCGATTTTGTGAAAATAGTTTTTCTTTTTACATAAAATATCGAATAAAAATTTTAAATATATATATTAATAAATAAATAAATCAAATTTATTCAAAAAAAAAGTCAAAAAATTTTATATGGAAAATAAACTTCATCATTTGGAAAATTTTTAGAAATTTTTTAAAAATTCATTTTGGGTCGCTTTCCCCCCTAATTTTTGTTAAAACATTAAATATAATATAATTACTTAAAAATTACGGTAAGTGACATATTATATAACATTGTAGGTAATAATTACAGGTACTCATTTTGTACCAAAAATTTTACCGTTATTTTTTAACCTGCATTTTTAACTGTGTAATGTAAATAATACCTGTACATTTTAACAAAATGCCTGAAAAACTCTCAATCTATGAGTAAAAGTACCTAATAATGATAATAATAACAAAGACAAATAATTAACAATTAGAATTTATTAACATCTCAAATTTAACAAAAAAAAAATGTAACAAAATAGGGTTAGGTTGTGTAAAATCGGTTTGTATGGCGTTTGTTAACAAGGTCGTTTGATAATAACAATTTATTTAAATAAATAAATTAAATTAAATTATTTTAAAAATTGTTATTTGTTTGTTGTCATATTTCATTGTACTTTAAATTTTTTTGCAGAATCAAGTTTTAAATATATATAATTTTTCCTGTAATCCATTTTTTTTTCCTAAACAAGGTTTAAAAAGGTTTAAAGTCTTGCAAAAAAAATAAATTTATTCATTTGTTTGATCACAATATGGCTGAATTCTTTTATTATCCAAAAAAAAAAAAAAAAAAAAAAGGTCGTTTTGATTAATTCGACCTAAGAGAGATTAATTTTGTTACTATTTCATATGACCTTTCATATTGTACATAAAATTATTATTATTATTATTATTATTATTATTATTATTATTATTCAACGAGTGTACATATTTAAAAATTTGGTTTTTGTTTTAGTGCAAATTGTTAAAAAAATTAATTAATTAAATATGTTATGTGAGGGTAGATATTATTATTATTATTTTAACCCATGACAACAATGTCTCCTTTTTCTCTCCATTCTCTAAAATATTGTTTAAATGTCGTCGGTTCTCCTCCTTCGATGACTCTTGTTATTCTCGTCCAAGATGGATAATTTTTAGATTTGCAAAATTCTTGTGCTTTTTTCAATGCTTCTTCTTTTTCAGCTTTTGTCGAACGTTTTCCAATCCATGAATAAAGACCAGAGGTGACAGTGTCGAGAATGAAAGCATCCTTGAGAAAAATTGTGTCAATAATTATTATTATTATTATTATTATTATTATTATTATTATTATTATTATTATTATTATTATTATTTAAGGATTATATTAATTTTTTATATAATTACGTTTGTGTTGAGGTCGGCATTCGACAAAGGTTTTTCTCCAACTTTTTCTATTTTCAAACCACCGGAAGCATCGCTGACTTTGTACAAGACAACTTGAGCATCGATATTTTGTTCGAATTGTTCGTCGTCACCACCGGCAGATGCTTCAGCAATGTTGCAGGAGA